AAAAAAAAAAAAAAAAAAGAAAAAAAAAAAAAGAAAATTAGGTCAATTTAAGGAGCTAGTCAACTGTGGAGATTCTAATGCATATGTATATATATTAGTTCTCAAATCTGAGATCATATTTATATATAAGTTTTATATCTTACATTTTCTACTTAACATTTACCATAAGAATGTTCTTATACTTCTTAAATATTTTCTAGTATATCCATCTTAATTTCTGCATGGTCTTACTTCTCAATAAAACTGATTTGAAAAGACATCAAAAAAAGAAAAAAATTTCTATTGAGCAACTAAATATTAGATGAATATATTAAAATTTCCATAAGATGAATTTTCTCTTATTTTCAAAGACTTGGAAGCTAAAAGATGGGGGCATATTCAGTACATGTCACCAGTTTTTCCAAACACACCTTCTGCTGTGTGCTGCAATGTGACCATTACACAACGTACTCGGAGGTCCAAAATGAGATCCTGGATAGTCTGTAACATGTCGTTAGGAATTTCAAGGGCAGTCAACGATTCGTAAGTAAGTCTGCGAAACAAACACAACATAAGTGAGCAGAGTTGGAGCCCAAAGCAATTTGCATCAAGGCTTTCACCATCCTATAATCATTTCTCGTGGCACAAGACCACAAGGACTGTAATGTGACAGTAATACTAGGTTAACCAACAGAAAAGATACACAAACAGTATGACACTCTCGTCCAGCAGCCACACCAATAATGTTTAAGAGCTTCCTTGTTGATAAATGGGAAACCGTGGAGGCAAAAAGAAAAGAGAGAAGGATAAGAAAAATTTCTTCTTTGTTAAATGTATCAAGTCATATCCCAAACTGAGTTGTTGTTGTTTTTTTTTTTTCAAAAAGCAAGGAAAAAAAGTAGTCCTTTTTAGAGAATGTGTCCATAGTCACCTGATGGTCTGGATGACATGTGTGAACCACTGTCCAGAGAGCTCAGACTTCACCTCCCAGCCCCCGTATTGCCGGGCTTCGCCCTCCCGGATACTGAGCGGGAGCAAGGCCCCACGGATCAGCTTCACAAGGGAGTGCGTCACTTCCTGAATCATTTTCTAGAAAATGAGGGACAAGCAAAGCTGCATTAAAATGTCGTCAATCTGACTGAATTAAACTGAACAATAATAAGGGTCTTGAATGTGAAGTCTCCTAGTGACTCAGGATGAGAAAACCCTACCCTGTGAAAAAGTCGGCCTACTCTTCCCTAACTTACCTTAAAATCATGTTGTCTTTGCCTTACATTCTTTGATCTTTCAATCTGGCCTGACTTCTCAGCAGTCTTAAAAATTAAAAAAAAAAAAAAAAACAACATATTAGAAGTAATGTATAAAAATAAAAAGTACTTGAACGTTTATATATCAAGAGAACATGAAATATGGTTCTAACTTGATTAAAAGGAATGTATAAGACATAATCTAAGTTTTGATTAAAGGATGATTAACTCCCAACAAGAAGTTATCTTTTTAAAACCTTTAGGTGTAATTCTCATAAATAAACCTAAGAATTAAGTTGAAATTACTGATTTTCTAGGTGAATTTCACATGCCATTTTCAACAATTTCATATGGTTCAACCACAAAGTATCATACTCGCTATAACATTCTCAATATCATTTCTCATTCACTAGTACAGAAATAAAAGGAAAAGTAATTTCTGAATGAATGTATAATAATCTTTGGGCATCCATTCCATTTCCTTGGTAAATAACACTTATGAATATAAACATGACATCTGTCATTTTATTTTCTAAAAAACATAAATCATTGCTCTTCATTTGAGGATTTTATAGTATAATTTAGGAGAGAATGTATTCTACCATTCTAGAATTAATTTTTTGTCTGTTTTGCTGATATAACATCTTTCTCCTTAAAGTAATGTAGGGGAGACTATATTGATTAAAAGAGAAATCTGCTCAACTGGATATCAGTTAACTTTTTATTAGCAAATTTTCTAACAACTAAATATTATTATATAAAAGGCCCTAGAAGGGCAAGCTTAAGAAACTTTCCAAAATAAGGTACAATAGCAAAACTATACAATGTAAAAGAAAATTCTGACACTTCATTGACATAGTGCAACATTTATCCTTTAAAGTTTAAATCTTTATCTCATGTATTATTGGCTAGAGACATGTCCGGAGACCTTTCAAGTTATGAAAAATTGCCTTATATGTGATTATGATATTGACTTCAAGTTAAGTTTTAAATATGTGATGGTAAGTATGTGTGTATGTGTATACATACATTTACGTAGAAGCTAGGGAAATTGCTTGTAGAGTTGGTCTATGTAAGGAACATACTGACATAATGAGTAAAAGACGATTAGGATTGTTGGGTGTTTTCAACAAAAATATTAGACAAGCCTTAAAAAAAGTGGTCAGCACCTGTATACATATACAACTTGCAAACTCTACACATACTTTTAAATTTTACATTAAACCACATAGCTTTTATAATTTTTTCTTTGTAGAAATGTACCTTCACAATTACAGGTATACAGAAAAACTAAGCCCCACATTTCACCTCAATAACCATTCAAAAAGCTAACTCCTGTCAGCACCTGTGACTCAAAAGAGTAGGGCACCAGCCCCATATGCCAGAGGTGGCAGGTTCAAACCCAGCCCCAGCCAAAAACAGCAAAAAAAAAAAAAAAAAAAAAAAGCTAACTCCTGAGTTCATTGGTCAGCGATACTCAAAATTCTTTGTACACCAGCATTTAATTGAGAAATCAATTTTTCCTTTATTTTTAAGACAAATGAGAAGGAACTGAAGTGTTTTAACAAGGGAGTGATGTAACTAAGCCTGAAGTGAGAGAACGAGAAGGTCCAGTGTAAGGGCCTGACTTGCCAGCAGGACACTACGGCTGTCCAGGCAATTGTAGCCACAGCTTAGACAGCAGCATTGTGTGTGCTGCTCCTGCTGTCTGGTTCCTACTTCCCATACCCTCTGCCTGGCTGCTTCCTTCTCATGTGTTAAGATCTCCGCAGAGATCTCCCCTAATCTCTATCCCACTACTGACATTTTTTATTGCAGGACTATATTTGTTTCTTTTATAGCTGTTATCAGAATTTAGGATAATTTTTTAAAAATATATGTATTTGGGGTTAGCCTTTGTATGAGGGGAGAGTTCATGCTATCCTGGTCACTGTTTTAGATATGTATTTTAAGATGTACATGTTTGTATATGTGTGTGTATAGTGTGTGTGCATGCATGTATATTCATGTGTGCATACGCTACAGGTTCACATATATGTGTACTTGTACAAATGTACATGGGTCTACTGTGTATATATAAATATATGCGCGTAAGCATATGTACTACATGTTTATGTGTGCTCATGTATGTAGATATGTTTATGTATCTGTGTGTATCAGTACCTGGCACTTGGTAAATAAAAGAGTACCTAAGGCTTATGTTCTTCAGAGCCTACTTGAATATATTTAGGAAAGCATGACTTCCCTGAATACTACTGGGCTAAAGGCCTATTTTTTAGAAACCTGAAGTTTTGGGTCTCAACATGACAGACTGGTCCTAAGAGGCAGATCTGCCAGACATCGCCCAGTAATATGCTTCTGGGCAGCCCAAGGACTCAGGTCTCCCTGGACATTTATGGTGACAACAAAAGGGATGGGCAGAGACTGGGGCTTGTGAGGTGGGTGCAGGTGTTAAGCTCAGATGCCCCTGAGGAGCCCGGCACTTGCTGGCATGTCAGGAGGCGCACATGACAGTGGGTCCCACGCTGCCAAATCTTTGTTAAGGGCCTTGTGATGTTTAATTTTATCTGACTGAGCTATGGGATACCCAGACCTTTAGTCAACTGTTATTCTGGGTATGTCTGTGAGGGTGTTCCTGGATGAGATTAACATCTAAGTCAGTACAGAGTGAATCAAACTGCCCTCCCTGCTATGGGCCTGAATAGAACAAAAAGGCTGATCTTCCTATGAGTAAGAGGGACTCCTTCTGTCTAACTGTCTTCAGGCTGGGATGTTGTGGGGTTTTCTTCTGTCTTCTTACTTCAACTAAAATATTTGTTCTTTTTATGTCTCAAGGCTGCTGGCATTTGAACTGGAACTAACATACTGCTTCTCCTGGGTCTCCAGCTTGCCAGCTTACTTACCCTACAGACCTCAGGACTTGTCAGTCTCCATCATGACATGAGCCAGTTCCTTATAATAAATCTCTTTATGTATATGTGTGTGTGTGTGTGTGTGTGTGTGTGTGTATCTGGATATGTGTACATATCCTTGTGGTTCTGTTTCTTTGAAGAGCCCTGACTCATACAAACCTGTCTAGTGTACTGCAGAGGGGAAGACATGCCAGTATAAAAGTGATTGTTAGAGGGCGTCTTCTTTAATTGCACTCCCCATAGTATACCTTATACTAAACTTCGCACATACTAGGATCATCCAATGTTAAGATTATTTTACAGTTGTCTGTTCTGTTTATCTTTAAATAGAAGAAAAGAGTAAAAGTTTGTTGTTAAAAAGTAAGCATCATATCCAAATTAAGTGTAAATTTTGCCAGAGCAATTTTGCCCAACAAAAAAAGTACTCATGAATGCATGATGACATCTACTGGACAATTATTTTGTAAAATTCAAGGACTTGTCTTCAAATACGTGAATAGTAAAAAGAGGAGGGGAATGAGGTATATGGCAGGCCTCTTGCAATCATTAATAAAACAACAGTTACTTATTGTTTTACTCTGATGAAGAACTGAACATCTCCAGCACATGAATTATAAAAGGTTTGCCCTACTTTTAAAAGAAAACCTAGTTTTGGAACACATGGTACATTTTAATTTATCTCCTATAAGTTATATGACTTTTTAAAATGCAGATTCCTGATATTTAACAACTATTTGAATGACTTAAAGATTTACATTCACGAATACCTTAAATGTAAAATCTATCTATAGGTGAGATCTTAACCTACTATTGACCATTTTGTTAACTAGAAACCTTAAGTCTTTCCTGCATACACAGACCAAAACTACTTTGTGGTAAGCCCAACGGCTGGATTTCACTGTTTTAATTCACATAAGTTAATTCACATGGGCCTTGCTGGCTTGAAGAACTGACTATTTTTCAAACTGTTGGAAACTTCTTTAACAGATGAGCTCTTAATATAACAACATAGTTCCCAAATGAGAAAAATAAGAAATTTCAAGAAAACTGTGTTTAAATATTATAAAGATTTCTTGTATGAGATCACATGTGAACTATGAGAGAACTCTTCCTAATGTTAACCTAGCATGTGTCTGGATGGGCTGTGCACACGCTCCGGCCCCTCTGTTCCCTCCTATTCCCTGTGTTATCTTTCTCACTTTTTAGTAGAGGGGAAATAGTTTAAAAACATGCCTAAATCCCCTATGCAATGATTTACAAATCATTAATAATGATTTTAAAGCTGCTATCAGCTTTTAAGTTTACATGCAACAACACAGGCACATCTAACTTGACCAATTAAAATCAATTGTTCATTTCAACATTAATGCTGTACATGAAGTAGGTCATTTATTTTTCATCTATAACCGAATATTTCATTTACATTTTCTTACAGGATATACCTACCATAACTAAGGACACAGGTCCTGTAAGAAAGTAAAATACATTCCCCTTTCACTAAAAGATCCCAGATCAAAAACTCTTAGGAATTTTATGACTCTAAAGATTCAAGGTCAGGCAACAACTGTCCATGTGTGGTAGGCCACCTGCAGAACTGATGAAAAGGACAAGAAAAACACATGACTGGGAAAAAATAAGATGGTTTAAGATATATTTCCTAAGGACTAACTCTTTGTATGATTTAATCCATCTACTCATCTTTCAATTCGACTTTAGCAGCTCATCAGTCCAGGATTTTAAAAGTCACATACCAATGGGCAGGAGGATCAGGGACATGAGAAAACTAATGGATCCCTGACTTAGCCATTGGTATTCAACTGTTTTGTTACTAAATTTTGTTCTCTGAACACATATTATGTGCCAGGTTGATGAGATTTTAAAAACTAGAATAAATTTCATTCCAAATAATAAGAGCAAACTGTTGATCATCTGCCAGACATTGTTATAAGCACTTCACTTTGGTTAACTCACTGAATTCTCAAACCAGCCCAGTGGAAGTCAATAGGCACAAAGAAGTAATTATCTAAGGCCACAGCTAGTAAGTAAGGGACATACACGGGATGTTTCCATTCTAATGCTAGTGTTCTGTGAGAAAATCTATGAACACAGTCAGTCCAAAGGCACGATCTGGGAGCATCTAACCCTCCCACTCACATGAGGACTTGGTTCAGAGGCTGAGCAGATGTGGAGAGGAGGTACTGGTGCATGGATACTGCTGTCCTCCGCACAGCAGAAGGCCAAGAGCCCAGACTTGTTCCCAGCACAAAGAACTACACAATCCTCACCCAGGTGAGAGTCACAAAGATGCAAAATGCTATGTGTTATGTACAAAAACAGGGCACTAGAAAAAAATTTTTTCAAGACATCTGCAAAACCGAAATTAAAGCATTCTCTTCCTAAGCCAGCAATGAGCAACTGTGTATTTGCAAAGACCAACCAAACCTGAAATATATTTTATGGAATTAGGGCTTTCTCTGTACAGTTAACTTTTTAAAAGAGTTTTTGCATACCAATGATACAGAAAGAAAATATTTGAACATTGACTTATAAAGCTTGGTAATTTAAAGAAGAAATTTAAAGGAAAAAATGCATTGATAAGTCATGCTTACAAGATTGGTTTTTGAGCCCTAAGGAGTTTGTTTTCATGCACTAAGTAAAATTTCATGAGTTAGATAACCCACTATTTATATAAACAAGGATCTATGGATCTAGTGGGTTTAAAGAAAAGAGAGAGTGAGTACTTAGAATTTAAATACACAAAGGGGGCAAAAAACCCTCCAGAGCACAAGTATATTTATTTCTTCAATACCAGTGTGAAGTCATGTCCATGGTCAAACCAGATTCAACAGACCTCTGAAGCACCTACTATCTACTTTCTAATAAGGAGAGGTCTTACTACAAAAACTGTGTCCTTTTGCAAGAAAATAAAAATGGTTTTAGTTTTTGTCTATGTCTACTTGCTATGCTGCCAAGTCCAAGATAAGCAGGAAATAGCTTTACCCGCATGAAGACCCCCCACCTCTCCCAGGACTGTAAGGAGTTTTCCTGCAAAGACAGGAAATACAGCTTTCTTAATCTTAACAGGTAGAAGCCTGGGGCAGAGGGTGTTAGAATCTACACTCCAGAATTGGAGGCCTTTATGGAACCCTTGAAAAAAGATTAAAAGTGATGATTCTGATTTCCATGTACTACACACAAAAGTCAGAGTCATTACTTTATGGTTATACTTTCTATGTTACTGATTATGTATTATAATTAAGACATTAAGTAAATGTGTAACTCATGAAAAGACAAAGGCTTATAAAAATTTGTGTAGACTGATAATAATGGGGCTAGATTACATGATCTTCAAATTCTTCTCAAGTAGGAAATTTCAGAAGTATAATATATGGATTATTTTAGATCTGTATGTTAAGTTACAAACATTTTATCCTTGTTTTATCATTTGTTCATATTCTACTGAACATAATTTCATCCATAATTTGGCCTGACTGGCATTATATTGAAGTCTGAATCCTTGACTACATTTCAAGTTTTCATTTCTTCTTTAATTGACTATCTCATTTAACCTTATAACCACCTATTGAAATAGATATCCTCAATATTTTCTTTTTACAGATGAGAAAACTGAGTCTCAGAACAATCAAGTAACTTATTCAAGGTCATACAGCTGCTAAGTATTAGAGCTTTATAATATTTTTTAGCTAATCCTAAAATATATAACTATGATTATAAATGTTGGGCCTGAGGTTTTAAAAAAAATCACTTCAAAATCTAACTCTTTTAAGACTAGAAATTCACAAGGTCTTGGCTCCACCTACAGTCAAATGTGTATACATACCTCACTGAAAAGGCTTCCATTAACGTATGAAATCCAGAGTTTCCAGAAGTTAGGCAGTTGACTTAAGACAAGCTTGGTCAATTTTTCAACAAATGCCACCCTGTGGGGAGTTTTGTATCTCCATGCTAAGGGGCAGAGGGGGAGAATAAAATGCTATGAATGTACTTTGAATCAAGAATGATAATTTATTTGAATACATTTAAGTAGCCCCAGTCTGTGTGGAGCATTGAAATTCCTGCCGCAGCACTAGGTTTTCCCACAGCCCCACACCGCATCCCCTGCCCCCAACCCCAGGCTCCTAGAGGGCAGCAGTGCCAGCCTCCTTTCCTTCTGGGAAGCAGAGCTCCCTCTCTTTCAGAGAGAAGAATGCTTTGGCTTTTCAACCTTGTCCTCAGCATGGCATACGGCTTTTTCAAAAAGTCACACCTTCAAACCACAAAGGAAGACAAAGCCACTCTGTAGCTAATAACGAAATTCAAGGCTAATATCAGCCTGTTAGAAATGCCATTATACACCCTAGGTGGTAAAATTCAGGAAGGAATCCAGTGGTCCTAAAAGAACATGTTCCAATGTACTCACATAATGAACAATGCCTCTTATAATACAGAAATTTAAGGAAAAGAGAATACTGAAACTTCTTTGGTTATCTATCACGTAAGGAAGCTATTGCAGTAACTGAGAAATAAGGACTTACACTTCCTGTGGGAAGAATAAGTTTGTGGGAATAAAAACAGATACGGAGATTTGGGGCCCAGTAACCATTTCCAGTCTGTCCTCCCTCTTTCTTTCCCAAGGCCATACCCTCTCCTGCACCCCAGCTTCTGCTCCCTTAGGAGCCCAGGAGCACGCACAGCCACTCTCTCTAATCTCACAGAGACCTCCAGCACCACTCTCAAAAGTACTGCTCTCCAGTCAAGTTCAACTTCAAAGATCCCACTTACTACCTTCCTTTCAAAATACTCCTAAGTGAAAAGTCCTGCTGTAATTTCAGTGAGGCAGGGGTGAATTTTATTTATTTGTAAATGTTTTATAATTTTCAAAGTAGATAATACATGGTTTAAAAAATAACACTTCAAAGGTACAGAGTGATAAGTCCACCTCCTGCTCCCATTCACTAGCCCTCAGAGCAGCCACAGAGAAAACTCCTGTGATTAGCTTCTTGATTTTTCCTGAAATGTTTTTATAGGTGCAAACAAACATAAATATGCATTCACTCTCCCTTCCCTGATGTTCTTTACATGTGTTTGCTTTTTACACAAATGAACGCACACTAGACGCGCTCTTTTTCTATTTACTGATGGATCCAGGAGTTCTTCCACACTCACACAGACAGCGCTTCTGCTTTTTCTCCCACAGTTACACAGCATTTCCTATTTTGGATTTATCATAATTTAATATATTCTTTCTAATGGACAAGACTTTCTAGTCTTTTGTGTTTAAATTAATTGCTTTAAGCAATAACCGTCTACCTATACTACTTACTACACATACAGGTGTAAGTGTAAATTCCCAGACACAGCATTGCTGGGTCAAAGTACACGTAGTTGTTAATGTTGATGGTTATGACCAAACTGCCCTCCAGAATGGTTATTTACACCAAAACAAAATAATAAATATTTAGAGTTTTTGCCAAACTGACACCTCACTGTAATGTTACTCTACCTTTTATTATTATGATCCTGAGGGAGGCTGAGTACCTAGTCACCTGCTTAAGAACTATTGAAACTTCCTCTGTGGCCCACAGAGCCTTTTTATTTATTAGGGATATCAGCCCTTTGTCTATGCTTTGAGTTATGGGAAAATGTTTTAAATTCAGTTTTCACATGTGTAAAAAATATGGTTCTTTACGAGCACACTGTAAACTTTTATTCGTTCATTCAATCAGTATTTAGTGAGTATCAACTGTGTGCATATCACATGGCTACACCCAAGATCTAAATTGTTCAGCACTGATGCTGAACAAGGTAGGCCTCTGCCTTCACAGAGTTTATTATCTAATGGAACAGCCAATTAAATACATCATAATGGTAATACAAGATGCGATTTCATCTGGAGACAGCGGGCATGAACTTTTTTCCCAACAGCAGTTGGTAAAGACTGCTTTCCAAATGACAGGCAGCATGTGAGAGAGGGTCAGCCATGACCACGTCCTGAGTCCAATGACAGGTGAATACTCTAAATTGAAGCATTTAAAAGACATCCCTTACATGACAGCAAACAGACTCTTCCATGATCTCTTCTCCCAAAATAATGTTTCAAAAGATCTTAGTTCTTCAGAATAGCTATATTGAACACTATTTTGTATGCCCTGTGTATGAGAAACTCACCTGTATCCTTATCTAATATATCATTGGTAAGGCTTATTTGCTGGGAAATTAAAGTGAAAGTAACCTAAGCAGAACTCAAGACCTTGTTGGCACTGAACTTGGGACTAGCTTTTTGTGTGGTCTGGTCTGGTCTGGTCTAGTGCATAATACAATCATGTGTTGCTTAAAGACAGGGATACATTCCAGTAAATGCCTCTGTAGGCAAATTCATGTTGTGGGAACATCGTAAAGCACACTTAAACATACCTAGACAGTACAGCCTATTACACACCTAGGCTGTGGTCCTAGGCTATAAACCTGTATTTCATGTTACTGTACTGAATAACTGAAGGTAATTTTAATACAAAGGTACCATTGCCTATTCATATATCTAAACATAGAAAAATATGGCATAAAAGATAAAAAATGGGACACCTGTATAGGGCACTGACAATGAATGGAGCTTAGAAGACTGGAAGTTGCTCTGGATAAGTAAGTGAAAGACTGGTGAGTGACTGTGAAGACCTAGGATTTACTGAGCACTGCTGAAGCCTTTATATAAACACTGGACATGAGACTAAATTCAATTTATAAAAAATAAAGGAACTGCACTAAGACATTGGGATGGCCATGACATCACTGGGCATTAGGAACTTTTCAGCTCTGGGGCCACCACCATATATGCTGTCCATCATTGACAGAAATGTCATTTTGTGAAACACTAATATATTCCACCGATACAAAGTTTCCCCGAACTTATAATGGTTTGACTTACGATTCTGACTATAAAATAGAGCAAAAGCAATTATGCATTTAGTACAATACAACAATTCTGTTTTCTACTTTCACTACAGTATTCAATAATTATATGAGACAGTCAACACTTGATTACAAAATAGGCTTTGTGTTAGATGATTTTGCCCAATGTAGGTGTATATAAGAGTTCTGAGCACATTTGAAGTAGGCTAGGCTAAGTGATGATATTTGATAGATTAGGCATATTAAGTACGCTTTCAACTTAATATTTTCAACTTCAGATGGATTTACTGGGACATAACTCCCAACATAAGAAGCATCTGTGTGTATATATATGTACATTTTTTCTACATATACACATCACCTCTATAGACTGATACTACTAGGTGTCAAGGAGCAGATCTTGGAGATTACTCCCCACTCCACGAAAACTAGAGAGGCGACACTGCCCTTTCACCAATTTAAAAGAAAAATTCTTCGTGAAAACTCACAAAATAAACAGAAAGTAAACTCAATTTATTTTGTAAATCCATTAATAAGTATTCTAATTTAAATGATTTTATGATAAGAAAAGTCTTTAGACAATTTTAAGAACCTAGCAAACCAATTCCAAAAGGCTTCCAAGAAGATTCCTTCAGTTAAATCTTTTTATAGCAGATTAATTAGTAAAATTATTTTGTCTGAGTTCAGCACAAGATGGAATGTTAGCATAGCTACTATACAGTGTTGCCAGATAATCCTGCTGAGCTAGAAGTTCTGTAATTATTCAACATACTGGGGCTCAATTATCAAGTTTTTTGGAAAATAGCAGGGCTCCCTGTGATCTCCTGCCTAGTGACAGAGAACAACTGTTAGCATCGAGTTGTATCTGATCTCTTTATTACCTGCACATTCTTTACACATGTGCATGTATGCGGGTGTCCTTTCCCTCCATTCCTTCTAACTCTACTTCATGCAAATTCTATTCATCATAATTAAAAATGTATTTTAATTTTTTCTTACCAAATCCATCCTGTCTACTTAAAGACCTACATGACATTTCACTGATAGAATAACATCAAGAGCAATTTCCTAAGAATGATGAAAGGAACTAAGGAGATATGGCAGGAATGTCCAATTTTCTCCAACAGAAATCACAAAGTATGCAGGCTCATGAATTCTGCTTTGATCACAAAGTTGAGAATGAGCTTCCTCAACTCTCTTCATACCTATGCTCTACTGGAGGCAATTCTTCACTATATTCAAATACAAGTAATAATTTGGGGGACACTAAATGATTTATTTAACTTCCACTTCTGGCCATGCTGGAAAAACATGAATTGGATTTAACCTCCAGCCATAAACAATTAGAAAACTGGAAAACTCTACGAAACAAGTGTTTTCAGACACTGGCGAGAAGGCAGCCCAGGCCTGAGACCTGAGAGGGAACGTGAAAGGCAAGATCCACAGACACCTAGGCTTTCTGCCTAAAGACAGTTTTGAAGCAATAAAGGCAAAGTAGAAGGGAACAGAGCAAAACTCAGTGGCCTTTCTGAGCTGGAAAGATAATGGACTAAAGTCCAAGGAGGCTGAGGGGACTGCAAACTGCAGGGAAGAGTTCTGCAAAGGAGAGAGCTAGGTAGGAAAAAAGTTCCAGAAACCTGTGAAAGAGTCTTCGTCAGTCTTTGTTGAGGATCAGACCACATGTATGTGGAGCAAAACTTCACAAAGCTAGAGAAAGAATGACCATTCCCAGAGATCACACAGGCAGAGAGCCTTTTTAACTCCCCACAGCCAGGGAGACTGGTTTTTATTAACTACCTGGACTAATCAGTAGAAACCCAGGGAGTCATGCATTGTTAGTTGGGGTGAAGTATCCCTAAAATTAAGGCTAACCTAGACCAGCTCTAGCAAAGATTAACAGCAGGCTTTGAAGGGGTTGAAGTGATCTGTAAGTGAACTGTCTGCCAGAACAAAGTCCAGTGCTTTTTAAAGGAAGGCAACAAAACCTAGGCACTCAAGGTTGAACATTCACAGTATCTGAGAAACGATAGAACATGATGAGATATACCCAAAGGCAAGGAAATGTGAATCATAACCAACCATCAGGAGGAAAATCAGTCAACAGCATCAGATCCAAAATGACAGAGATGATGAAATTAATAGACAAGAATATTATCAGCTATTATGACTATGTTCAAAAATTTAAAGAAAAACATGAAAAGAATGTGGAAAGAAAGAGGAGGTATTAAAAAGGACCACAGAACATCCACAAAACACAGTATCTGAAATTTCAGGTCACACACTGGAGGAAAAAAAATCAGAAAAGTTGCAGGCACAGCAAATGAAGCACTGAGTGGGAAACACAGGGGCCTGAAGGGAGAACAAAAGCTCAGCAATTCCAGGAATAATCTACTGGGGTAAAACGCACACAATCAGGGTCCCAGAGAAGGAAGCGGAGCAGAAATATATTTGTGAAAATTTCCCAAACATAATGAGTATTTCAAAGTTTGGTAAGATAGATCCAAGTAGCTTGGTAAAACTCCAGCAGGATAAATTTGAACTGTACAAGATGATGCAATTCATCATACCCAGCCTCAAGTGTGGTTTCTAATTAATCTAAGCATGTCAGTGTGAAAACTGGTGGTAGTAAATGCCACGAGGACAGAGGAGTTGGGTGGAGAGTTTTTAGATTTGATATACTGCCCCCATAAGAGATGGAAATGTTTTTTAAAAATTCAGGTGGGCCATACTCCAGAGTCAGAAATCCCGACCAGATTAGCTCAGAGGCTCCATGGTAAACATTATGGCACAAAATGTAGATGGGAATAGTTCTGGTCTGTCACTGTTTACACTGATGTTGGTGGACTAGGTGGGGAATGGAAGCAGGTCAAGAAGAAGGAATACTAACAGTTGTTTATTTAGTACAAATGAATCATCTAATTGTGAGGTGTTCATATGATGGACAGTCACATTTATTAATAAAACTCTCAAAAAAGTCCCTATTCCAATACTTTTAAGAATATAAAATACTTTAAACTTTAGAGATGTTTAAATGTAATGTAAGGTAAGGTATTTCCATTACCCTGAATTTCTTATTCTCTTACAGAAATTTTATATATGTATAGATACATATATAAATTATATATATTATTTTTTTTCTTTTTTTTTGAGACAGATTCTCACTCTGTGCCCTTAGTAGAGTGCTGTCGCATCATAGCTCACAGCAACCTCAAACTCCTGGGCTCAAGTCATCTTCTTGCCTCAGCCTCCCAACTAGCTGGGACTACAGGTACCCACCACAAGGTCCAGCTTGTTTCTCTATCTTTTTATTTTTTTAAGTAGAGATGGGGTCTCGCTCTTGCTCAAGCTGGTCTTGAACTCCTGAGCTCAAGCAGTCCACCCACCTCAGCCTCCCGGAGTGCAAGGATTATAGGCCGTGAGCCACCGCACCAGGCCTGTTACTGAGATTATAAATGACCAGCAATTAATTTTCTACTTGTGTACATGACTGCATTAGAGCTGATACATTTTATGTCTTATGATAGGTAAATAGCTGCTTCAGAAAATCAAGAAATGCAACATTGTTATAATTTTAGATGCTTTATCTTAGGGAAAACTGATTAAGGATTAATTTATGGTTAAAAACCAATCTCTCTTTAAACCAAAGCTTTAATTTCATCAAAAAAGGTATGTTAACTATAAATATTACTTACTTTTGTTGCAAACTTCATCTTGAAGAAGTTCTCATAGAATTTTTTTCCATAGCATTTGTTTAAAAAGTTCAACCACACCAAAACTAAAACTATACTTTTAATAGGTGAAATAAACATTGACTGGTACTCAATGACTTATTTACAAAAATTCAAATATTTTCTCTTTAATGTAAATTATATTTTCATTACTTAAGTTTAATATCTGGGTAATAGCTTTAATAAGCACAAGAGATGATGGTTAGTAATATTTAGCACCAGTAACAACACAAATTTTAGAATTTTCCAAGAGAAGAATATTTTAAATGATATGAATACAAATCTCAAACAGAGTTGGGGGGGTGATACTTACTGTCATCTCGACTGGACTGAAAGCTGCTGCCCCTCTTCAGGGACGCTGTCTGACTGAGATGGCCTGACACTGAGGGACGCACATCGTTATCAAGATCCAGCATGGGACTAAGCAGGCTTGGATTACCTGCAAGAGAGAGGAGGCATTTACACACCTTCTATATATCCTACCTCGCTGATTTCATAGACTGCTTCTCTGAGGCTATGTCTTGCTCAATCACTCTACTCTTAAATAAAGCATTTGCTAAGCAAAATAAAAAATATTTTCTCTAAGTAGATTTTAACAGATTCCGAATTCAGCAAAACTTGGGGGGAGGAAAGGGTAGAGAACATGAAAATTAGGAGAAGTAAAACAATTCATTGGCATTTGGAAAGGAAATCATTGCATTCTGACTCTTCAGTTTATTTTAATGGAACCAATTTATAATGGATTTTTATAGCACAAGACTTCTCTGACTGCTCCTTAATGCCACATTTTACATTTAAATCCCATCATTTCTTACTTTGGAGTGTGGGATTTAATTCCCTGTTTCTATTCTTGATGCCAGTGACCTGGTTTGGATCCTTTTCACCTTCCACTGTTAATATTCCAGAAGCCAAAACATTCTACTATTGATAAGAAATTGTCTTTATTATCCTGGATTCATCTCACACGTAAATACTACTTTCTTGATTTTAGAACCCTCCAGAAAAGCCTCAGGATAAAGTACACACCAGTGTTTTCTAATCCAAATTCTGCTGAGAACAGGGAAACAATTCTCTAAAATGGATCTGAAGAGCTATTAGAAATGGAGTCCTATATGGCTACAGGACCTTGGCCTTGGCTTGATGGTAACATCAGCCTAATCCATCGGTCTATACAGAACACTGTCAGGCTCGGTGCCTGGGACTCAAGTGGCTAAGGCACCAGCCACATATATCTAAGGTGGCGGGTTCAAATCCAGCCTGGACCCGCCAAACAACAATGACGGCTGCAACCAAAAAAAATGGCCAGGCATTGTGGTGGGCACCTGTGGTCCCAGCAACTTGGGAGGCGGAGGCAGGAGACTTGCTTGAGCCCAGGAGTTGGAAGTTGCTGTGAGCTATGCCACAGCACTCTACCCAGGGGACAGCTGAGGCTCTGTCTCAAAAAAAAAAAAAGACCACTGTCAGCTCTTCAGCTGAGCATCTGAAGATCTTCAAATTAAGCTGTATTCAATGAATAGTACAGAGAATTTAAAGCACTGTATATAGGACACTTAAATATTCTCCATATAAAAACATGTCTTACATTCTCCTGCCAAACTAGAGGATAGTTTGCTATCCTCTCCACTTGAAAGGCCTCAGTCATCTCTCCTCTTCCTCCATTAAACATACATGCTTAAAGATTCAACCTGAATTACAGCTACTGCACAAAGTTACCTCCTGTTGTTACCTATCTAACCTGCCCTCTATCTTTCTGCCGTTATGGAGCAATTCAAATACACATGGTTTAGTTGACTTCATGGTTTGTTTGACTTCTACCTTCTAAACCTGCTGTTTGTTAACACGTACAAATTGCCAGGCTAGGTGCGGTGGCTCACGCCTGTAATCCTAGCACTCTGGGAGGCCAAGGTGGGTGGATTTCCTGAGCTCAGGAGATCAAGACCAGCCTAGGCAAGAGTCATCTGTACTCATAACAGAAAAACTAGCCAGACATTATGGTGGGCAACTATAGTCCCAGGCTGAGGCAAGAAGATCACCTGAACCCAGGAATTTGAGGTTGCTGTGAGCTATGACGCCACAGCACTCTACCCAGGGCAGCAGAATGAGACTCTCTCTCTCTCTCTAAAAAAAAAAAAAAAAAAAAAAAAACGCAATCCAAAAAACCAGATAGAAATTGCTATCTCCACGACAGACTACTATGTTCTCCTAGAAAAGAGTTAAATATTGTATCTCCGTATTTCCCAAACTCAGTGAACCTTCCACAAACTCCCACTATATATATATATATATATATATATATAAATGACTGATATTATTCACTAAGAATAATTCACTAAAAACTATATTCCTTAGTTTACAACTTAACAGAATATTAAAAACTGATGGATTCATTACTGGGTGCTAAAAACCCTACAAATTACAAACTCATGTAATAATTTTGTGGCACTGATAATCCTAGTTATTCAGTAACAATTAAGAAGTGTTTATTGAGCACGTCCCGCGTAGCAGGAACCGCAGACCCTGGGGATAAGGTGGATGAGTCAGATGTAAGGCCCTACTCTCAGGTTGTTTACATTCTGGTAAAACAAACCAATAGATAAATAAACCATAAAAATACAAGGCTGTAGGCTACAGGCTAAGAAGAGAAGTTAGCTAGTGATTGTGTGATTAGAGAGGTCTGATTTTAGGGGCCCCTCCTGCCATGTGCTGCTGTACATGATACAGGAGTAGCCGTCTCCTCAGAGCCTCTCAAATTCTGCCTGGTAGGTTTTAAAGAAATAGAAATTGAGTCATTGGAACAGATTTTTTTAAATGGAAATTTTTTTTTAAAGACTACTATTCTTCACTACCATGCTAACTAAATGCTGTTCATGCATCTCTTTTTTAGAAAATGTTATTATACAGCTAAGATAAGACAACTTGTGTAATCTAGTATGTTAAAAGAGAAAAAATGATATATATGATATAGAGTCAAAAAATATGAACAGTAAAGAAACAATATTTTTTATAACTGACTTCTACCCTCTATCAAAGAGGAAGTTTATGTGTGGAAGTTTTAATGATTTATGACATTTTTTTTCAAAGTTTACAAAGTTGGCACTGCTATTATTTATTGAATTCAGGAAATTAATATCAAAATACAAAGTTTTATATACTTTAAAAAGAAGCGTAAAGGGCCCCAAATTTAGCATCCCTTTAAAGCAATATATAAAAATTTATATTAAAGTGTCTGTAGGAAGTATAAGAAGAGAATGCTTCAATTTAAAATGCTACATGTTACTCTTAAAGGTTTGAGGACTATAAATTTACAAATAAGAAGGTAAGCAGACTACAGGTCTTTGTGCAAAAAATCACTGCTTAAGCAGATACGGAGAAAGTTTCCCCCCCAAAAGTGGTATCCTCACAACTTTAAAAATAATTCAATACTAAATCATTTGTATAGTTGAATTCTTGACTTTCAAAACTGTTAAAAGCTTTTTCTTTTCCTTTAGTAACAGAAACGATACTGCAAATATGCTTTTGTTCTATTAGAAACCACATCATCAGTCTTCTCTGATACCGGGAAGAGAAAGTTAAACATGGACTAATTTCTTAATTGGTAGTCTAGCATGACCAGCAAGCATAACAGCAGCAGGGAGCGAGAGCAACACGTGCCCCGGAGGGCTAATCAGCATCTGGAATACATTTGTAAGATGTATTTTTGCTGAGTGACCAGCAGGTAGCGCTCCACAGCTACGCACCAATGCCTGAGCTCTGCAAAATCAACATAGCATTGACCAGAAATGTTTTTCTCCCTAACATTTTGCATTTTTTGGGTCACAAAAATGATCTTACGATAAATTATTTTACAGAGACTTAGAAAGACAATGCTTTGAAGACAAAATTAATGAAAACTTTTAAATATCAATTGACACAAATTATTTATTATCAAATGTCAAAAACCTTGAAGATTTTAACACTATTTTTAAACTTAAATTACACAATATTTCTAACCCACAAAATTATTACAAAACAAGTGGTTTTAACAAGTAATAGTAAGGATTACTATATAAAAGAACAATAAAGGAGACAAAAAACAATTTCTGTAAAATATAAAAATCAGCAAAAGCCTTTAAATATTTCACAACAAATCAGCCTGTTTCCATGAGATTGTTTTACCTCATAAAATGACAGCATTATCATAAGACGAGTTTAAGAGAAACACACACGTTATATAAAGCATATGGTTATAAATGAGAATATAGCAAAACTATTACGAAGTTCCATTACGTCACACTCTCATTGATCTGCAGATCACATGCAACTGAAAGATGTTACTTATTTCCCCAAAAACCTAAACTACCTGCCCCTGACATCCTGTTGGAAGACTGTTCACAACTGCATACACACAACTTCAATGGAACCAGTTACAGGTGACAGAGACTAAAGTTTCTGTAAAACTGTGCGTTAGACTGTTCTTTTCAAACAAATAGTGCATTAATGTGAGTTTTGAGAAGTCAACTGTTTTCTTGGCAACGAACTTTCTCTAGAAATGAACTGTGCCTAGGATTTTTTCTGGATGAAAAATTTTTAAAACCTTTTTGTGAAATAGGAGGTTATTACTTTTTGCCTCAGTGAAAACATTGTAATTCTATGCTTTCATCTGACCAATACTAACAAACTGTTCTCTTTATTTGAAACGAGAGCAGAGATTATTTCTATTAAGGATTCTCATGGCTGTATAATCAGGGTTGGGTTCTGTAGCAGCTCAGGAGTCATAGGCGTATGTGTAATACTGACCTGTAAAAGTTAGGGCCTTATGAACTATAAATGGATAAAGTCATTTTTAGCTGTAAAATTCTAACTCCATGATACAGTTTGAATCCAAAACTTTAAATAACCACTAAGAACAAAATGGAAAAGATTCTGCTCATGATTTCTATTCAGGACACATACCAGTGGTATTACCATTTCAAATGTATAAAAAGTTTACTTCTACACACACAGCAAATGTAAAAATTATGCTTTAAAAGGAAATTACAGCATTAAAATATTATACTATAAGAACAACAACAATAAAACAAACCAAAAAAGTCGGTGAAAACGTCATCAGAATTGTATAACATCTGTTACGGCCTTTACAGCTATTTTAAAGACACTAAGCACAGTAACCAAGAAATACTGTCAAATGAGTAAGTATTTGTAAGAATAATCAACTTGGCTATGATCTATCAAAGTTATCTGAAGAATAATTATAGGACGAAGATTATTCTGGAGCCAAACTGCAAAGAGGCACACAACCCTATAGCACAAGAAATCATCAATCACCGTAATACTTCCAGTTGTAAAATTCTATGTGATGTTTGTAGGAAAAATGGTACAACGAAATTATACTAGCAAATATTCTTAGGGTCTAGCTATTTTAACTTACAGATACTAGTGTTTGAGTTACAATTTTACCAA